TTTTTTATTGTATCTTGGACATTGTAAATGGATTCTATTATATTACTCCCAAGGTAAACCACTTTTCTTGTTCCACTTTTTTTGTTTAAACAAACAATTGACTTAGTTGTACCCAAACTGAAAACTCTCTCTTGYGTAGCAGCTCAAATCTCATTYCAGTTCTTTTACTTTTGGCTGGACTGTTTCAGCCTGTAGTGCTCATGGGTAATTCAGAGATCAGCCAGAGATTGGAGCAGAGCTGATACATAATGCTATGGTTTGTCTCCACCAAAACTCGTGTTAAGGGTTGGTTCCAATAAAGTCGTGTTGAGAGGTGATGGATAKTTGATTCAGGGAGGACCCACCCTCATGAAAGGATGAATGCTGTGTGGTAAATGTGAGTCCTTACTCTCTTGGGACTGGATTAATTACCAGGAGAATACATTCTTATAAAGCAAGGTTACTCCTTGTGCTTTGTCTTTCCCACACATGCATTCTTGCCCTTCGGCCTTCCATCATGAGTTGAAGAAGCAAGTAGCCCTAACCAGATGCAGCCACTCCATCATGGACATTCCAGTCTCCAGAACTATGAGCTAAATCRACGGACTTAGATACATAGGATGGGTTCCCCTTTTCTAGGCTTTTTAACTTCTGGGTTCCTCCTTCATTTTCCAGTGGTTGCTGCTGCCCCAAGTATTTTCTGTTTCTTCAGTTTGGAAAGACTATGGGTTTTCTACAAAAGTTTTAGCCATCCCACATTATGCCAGGTTCTATTTTGCCTCAAAGCTAAAAGGCATAACAAATGGGAACTCTCTTTAGGCKGTTCTTTTCTCCCAAGAGTTATCACTCCTCTAGAACACATTTGTTTTCATTCACTCCTGGTCCCTTCAGGGAGAATTTTTGTTATTTTCTTACTTATCATATTCAGAGTTTATAATTGTTATCTGTTTTTTTTAGTTGTTGATGGGCCTTTATTTTATTTGCTTATTTATATGTGGTGCTGGGGATCGAACCAAGTGCCTCACACATTCGAGGCAAGCACTCTACCACTGAGCTACAACTCCAGTCCCTATAATTGTTATCTTGGGAGAGCAGAGCCAGAAACTTACACAGCTGTATTGATAATGGACCTTCCCAGGAGCATATTCAATATATATATATATATATATATGTATGTATATATATATATACACACACACACACACATAGATAGATATGTATATATATACATATAGAAATATGTGTGTGTATATATATTTATGTGTGTGTGTGTGCTGAGTTACATACTTAGCCCTTTTTATGCTTTATTTTGAGACAAGATCTTGTTGAGTTGCTTAGGGCCTTGCTAAATTGCTAAGGCTGGCCTCCAACTTGGAATCCTTTTAACTCAGCCTCTTGAGTTGCTGGAATTACAGGCATGCGCCATCACGCCCAGTTCATATSAATCTTTCATACTTGTGGATATTATGTTCTGTCTTCAGAGAAAGTTTTCTCCCTGAATATTTGCATGACTCACTCCCTTACTCAAGTCAGGTCCTTTATCAAATGYCCCTTGTTCGGACAGGTTTTCTTGGACTGTATTACCTAACATATGCTGTCCAGCCCACATACACATTACTTTCTAGGACTTTGCATTCCTTTCTTCTGAGTACTTCTAGTCCTGACCTATGCTATGCATTAATTCATTTTTTATTGATATTTATATTCCTTACTAGACTATAAGCTCCATGAACATGGGAATTTTTGTTTGCTTTTGGTGTTTTTGGCATCACAAGCACAAAGAATAACACTTGGCTCATAGCAAGTGCTTAGTAAATATTTGTTCCATGACCAGTTCATGCTAGACACATAAAAATACATCCATACACAATATGTTCAACTAATTTTTTGCAAATGTGAAGATGCAAATCAATGGAGAAAGGATAGTTTTTTGGCAAATAGTGCTAGAGCAACTAGACATCTGTAGACCAAAAATAAATAAATAAATATTGATCCAAACCTCACATCTTATATAAAAATCAACTCAAAATGAGTCCTGTACTTAAATGCTAAATATAAAACTAAAGGGAAATTTAGGAGATAAAGACACAGGAGAAAAATCTAGGACATTCAAGAATTATACATAAAGTACAAAACTTTTCAAAAAAATAGATGGAAATCTTGAGGTACAGGATAAGGGAAGATGAATTATTTTTTATTAAAAAACTGTGTGTGTGTGTGTGTGTGTGTGTGTGTGTGTATACATATATAATTTGAATTTTGGGGAAATTAGCTATGCTGTCAACTTTGGAAAAAGTACCCCAGCTTACCATGTTGAGTTGACATTGTACAGAAATTCACAGACATATTGGTCTAGAAACGTTAAACTTAATTTTTTTTTCCATTTATACAGGGGTAAGTATGTAAGATCTTATCTATGTGGGTTTGATTACAGAAACTAATAAAGCATTCTCTAAATAATAAAAAAAAATAAATAAAAGTACTATACTACCTTCATAATCACGGATCACTGCTCAGCAGCAAAAAGGAAAAGAAGACTGATAATCAGAAAAAAACTTGAGTATMAGTAAATGCGGAGCTTGGATTGGATCAGCAATTTTGTCAACCATCAAWGTTTATTCATCTAGTAGCTCTTTCTTTGGTACCAGGGATTGAGCTACAGCCCAGGCTTTTTTTATATTTTATTTAGTGATGGGGTGTGGCTGAGTTGCTTAGGTCCTTGCTRAATTGCTGAGGYTRGCTTTGAACTCATGATCCTCCTGCCTCAGCCTCCTGAGCTGCTGGGTTACAGGCTTGCACCACCAAGCYCAGCTTGATCCAGTAGTTYTTGATTTGTCCTTTTGTGATAATATGGAAGGAGGAAGCAGTGTTTCTGCTTTCTAGATATTAATATTTCCTATCTTTTCTGTCTCTACTTAAACACCTGTTTTGTTTTTTTGGTTGTTGTTGTTGTTTTGTTTTGACAGTAATTTATATTATTTGAAAGTATTAACAGGGTGCAGTGGTGCCTCCTGTAATCCCAGCTACTCAGGAGGCTGAGGCAGGAGGACGGCAAGTTCAAAGGCCAGCCTGGGCAACCTAGTGAGACTCTGTCTCAAAAACAAAAACTAAAAAGGGTCAAGGGAGTAGCTCAGAGGTTGAGAGGCTCTGGATTCAACCCACTGTTCCCTCTTAATCTATAGAAATGGGACCAACGTGTGCTCCATTAGACAACGTGGTGAATCATGGATAACAAATAGTATAAGATTTTAGTGTAAATCTAAATATATCTAATTCAGATCCTGTCTGGCTCAGACACTTATTACTTGTGGGCAAGTAATACTTAACCTTTTTTGGAAAGGAGGTTTTAAATCATGGAATGATTCTAAGTCTAAACAGAATCATTTAGAGAAAGTTCTTAGACCATAGTAGGTGCTTCATAGGTAGAAGGAGTCATTTGAAATAGTCTTCTATTGAATGTTTTAGTTTGCTTGCTTCTACTTAATGTTCTGTGATTGTTTTGGGGTACTCTTTCTGAAGTTAATTCACAATGAAATTTATTTGTTCTCCTTCTCCCAGGGAATGCTGCAATTTAACCATGTCATAATTAATATTGCATCACGACCTACSCAGTTATTTCTGGTAAGTACATTTTGAACTCCTGTAGCTGTCTTTGCAGAGCTGAACTGGGAGAGAAGGTCATTTGCAGGCATTTTTCCAAACTCATCTTCTTTTAGTAAGCATCAGCATATCTTTCAGTATCACTTCCCATGGAAGGTAACAATTATGCTCTGAAACATCTTTCACTGCTTTTGCTGTCAGAGACCACACCAGGTGATTCTTACAGTCTTGGGGACTCTTCCTCCCTCCTTGGTTAAAAGGATGACATAGTGGCTAATAGCAGCTGTTCCCATGTGTGCTGTTGAATGCATTTCATGGTGTCAGGTGTCACTGTTTCCTCTTTYAATCTATGGAAATAGGACCAACGTGTGCTCCATTAGACAACRTGGTGAATCACAGTAACAAAAAGCAATGTCCCACTCAGGACCRTCTGAGCGGTTTTGTTAGTCCTGTCTGTATTTTTAAATTTTGTTCATATTTCTCATTCCCCACGACACTCCAGAACTTCTCTGAGAAAAAAATTTCCCTTTTTTCCCACCATCTTTGGTTCTGTTTTTTAATGTCATCCTTTTAAAAGTCACAGCCCGTTCCTGAGTTGGCAGTCCTTTGCAGACGTGCCTTTCTCTCCCACTGCAATGTCCAGATTCTAAGGGAACCTCAGACTCCGCTTTATTTTCCTCCAGGTTTGCTTGAGGGTGGCTGAGACCACTCACTTTAAACCAAAGCGCCCCCCTCTTTATTTGTCACTTTGAAAACAAATATCTCTTTGAAATCCCACTCCTGCAGTGAAAAGAGAGGGTCACATTCTAAATTACCCTCAGAGCTCCACCATGTTCCTTGCTCCACTATCAGAACCTGGATGCTAGAACTGAGGTTTCCAGGGGCCTTTGACTCCACTGATTTGAGGAAACCCAATTCCGCTCTCTTCCCCTAAGCTTCCTCCTAATTCAGAGCTCACTCTTGACCCAGTTTCCCCCACGGGTTAGCTGCTGCTGACTATTGTGCAGCTCGCCTCCAACTTGGCAGGTGCTACTGCAGATTTGCTCTTTCCTCCAGATACTTCAGGCAGAATCCGCAGCCTCTTTTGAGCTTCTGTTGGTTGGAAGGAACACAGACCATGAGGCTCTTGCCAGGGAGCTGTTCCCTGTCTCCGTGTTTCCTGGGGGCTCTGACCTTGCTCCTTTGCCTGTCCAGCCTACATGGTGAGTGAGAGATTGCTGGGGTCCCAGGAAAGCATGAGGGACAAGAACAATCAATGCAAATGTGGTAGCCTCTTCATTCCATATTGGAAAACTAAAGACCCAGTCAAATTGTAGTCACTGACATCAATGTATGAGAGATAAWACAAATAATTATATTGATGCCAATACTTTAACAATAAATTAACTATTAATGGTATAATAAATCATTTACTAATTTCCATCTTAATAATGGAAAGGTTTAACTACAAAATATTTTTTCAAAGCTTCTGATACTTTAGGGTACGTATTATTCCCATTACAACAGAAAAAAAAAAAAGAAAAAAAAAACTTAGTTTGTATACGTTCCTGGGAATATAGCCTAATAAACAGGTAAGAATAAACTGCAAGRACTTCATTTTGTTCCATATAAATATAAATACAAAAGGGCTTCAAATCTCTTTGTTTTAAAAATGAGTTAATTATCCCTTGCTTTACACATGGTTTCTAATTGGTTTTTAGTTTTTGCCATCTGTAAAGCAAAAGTGAAATAATTATTGTTGTCACAAATTCTAAGGAAATTAACTGGAATCTGAATTTATAAGGTACATGTATAAAAGTTCTCTGTATATCATAAGACATTATATAAACATAAGGTTTTATTGTTGCAGTTTAGTGAGTCGTTTTTATTATTAAAGTGTTGAAAGTAATTTTTTCCCTGTGATTCTCTTCTTTTAAAAAAATGCAGAAACACRGAATATTCTTGGAGTTGATGGATGGGAAGGTGGTTGGGGATTCTGGGTTTGTAGCCCTTACAAGTGTTAATAAAGACCAATGTCTAATTGCAAATGTTTCTTGAAAAAGATGCCTCTGTTGCTTTATATCTAAAGGTCCTTCATTGTCCACAACTAGCACAGACTCTTAGCAGAGTCATGTTGTGAAGGGCATGGACCCCGTGTGGGGMAAACTACACTGCTTCTCCCTGTGTGACCTTGGGAAAGCTGCTTCACCTCTCTGTGCTTGTTTTCTTGTTTGTGAGACGGGATAATAAGAATGCTTACTTAATGGGGTTGTTTGGGGGGAATTACATGAACTGGTATTTGTTAGATGCTTAAAACATCGCCTTGCATGACCTTGTGTTCACACACACATTTTGTTAAATATTTAAAAATTMTTGAAAATAGARGAGYTCTATACTGGGAAAGCAATTTCYCCCYYCCCCCAAATACACACATACATGCCCACTATCCATAATTCTCAGCCGCTTGACGATATGAGAAGTGACATCTCCATTTTCAATTATGCTATGTTATTTCATAAGCAAAGAAATTAACTAGGAGGGGTGAAAGTCTACCTACCAACAAATCCCCTTAGACTCTAGCTTGGATCTTGACTATTCAATAGGTCCCTGCGTTAACGGCTGGGTCCTCTAGGTGGTGCTGTTGAGAGGCAGTGGATGTTCAAGAGGCGGGGCCTGGCAGGAGGTCTTGCAGTCCCGGGGTGTGCCCTGAAGGGGCTGTGGGGCCCCAGCCTCCGCCTTGGCCTCTGCCGCGCCTTCTTACACTTCCCTGGCGTTGAGTTGAGAGGTTTTGCTCTGCCACCTCACGGTACTTCCTCCCGGATGTGCTGCCTCGCTATAGACCTAAAAGCAATAAGTCCACCTGGTGAGGGGAACCTCTGAACCTCTGAAACTGTTGGCCTAAATTCACACTTGGACACCTTTTTTTTTTTTTTTGGTACCGGGTATTATTGAACCCCAGGGCGCTTAACCAGTGAGTCCCAGCCCCAGCCCCAGTCTGTACTTTATTTAGAGACAGAGTCCCACTGAGTTGCTTAGTGCCTCGCTTTTGCTGAGGCTGGCTTTGAACTCGTGATCCTACTGTCTCAGCCTCCCCAGCCGCTGGGATTACAGGTGTGTGCTCCCAGTCCGTTTTTATAATTTATTTAGAGACAGTCTCACTAAGCTGCTGAGGCTGGCTTTGAACTTGTGATCCTCCTGCCTCGGCCTCCAGGAGTCGCTGGGATTACAGGGGAGCATCAATACGTCCAGCAAATTAATTATYTTAGGTATTATTGAAGTGAAAAGCTGGCTAATGTACCTTAGTAATGAGTCAGAAAATTTTCTCTCTCCCTCTCTCTCCCTCGGTCTCCCACTCAAGGCTGCAGTCCCCCTCCTAGGATTGCACACGGGCACTACAGGTATATCAGTGGGGTCGTATCGCTCAGCACCGTGGTGCGGTATGAATGCAAGGAAGGATATGCTCTCCTAGGAGCAGCTGAAATCTCCTGCCTGTTTTCAGGATGGTCGCCTCCAGCTCCTCGATGTAAAGGTAATCAAACTCCCAGCAGAGCACTGTGAAGCAGGTAGAGCCTGCAGAGTGGTTCAGAAGTGACTCAGAGAGAACAGGTCCTGCCGRCCAGAGTCACTGTGAGTTCACACTTGGTCATGGTTCTATTTCAAACATCCAGGAAATAGCACTCTTGTGTTCTTAGTCAGTTCAGAACCTTTCAGGAGACAGTGGCCTCCCTATCGGTCACCAGGCTATTTTGGAAGAATAAACAAAATGTCCATAAGGTTATTTCCATCATTTCACTATTTTTTTTTTTTGGTACTGAGGATTGAACCCAGGGGTGCTTAACCACTGAGCCACATCCCCAGCCCTCTTTAATATTTTATTTAAAGACAGGGTCTCTCTGAGTTCCTAAGTGCCTCGCTAAATTGCTGAGGCAATACTTTACCTTAGAACTCATGATCCTCCTGCCTCATCCTCCCAATCCGCTAGGATTACAGGCGAGCACCACCATACCTGGTCCCATCATTTCACTCTCAACAACTCCACGACCTAAGTTGCTGTCACTGCTTTCATTATATACAGGAGAGAACCAAGGCAAGAAGAGAAGTCCTGCAGCACAGAGAGTCCAAAACCTGGAATTAGGTCTCCTGGGTTCACTCAGGCTGTGCTACTTACAAGTGCTCTGTATGACTTGGGACAAGGCAATTAGCTTCTCCATACCTCAGTTCTCTCTGTAACGGGCACCCTCATAGTCTCTCTCTCACAGGGTGGCTGGAGGTTATATGAAAGATGCACCTGAAGTGCTTGGCACRTAGTTGACATGTAGCAAGTGCTCAGTAAATGCTAGCTAGTAACAATCTTGGCAGAGCTGGTGGTGGCRGCCATGGCAACAGAGTTGGAAGACTCCTTTAATTGATTTTCAGTGTCCAAACGTGTATTCTCTAAGAGAAACGAGGTGCTAAGTTAATGTGTTTTGATTGCAGCTCTGTGCCTAAAACCGAAGATACCCAGTGGAAAGCTATCTGTGGAGAAGGATCAGTATATCAGCCCTGAAGCTGTCACCATCCAGTGTGACCCTGGCTACAAGATGATTGGCTCCCCATTTATCTCTTGCTCAGAAAACAGATCTTGGAGCCCGGCTGTGCCTAAGTGTGAAAGGGTGAATGATACTCCTTCAATGAACTTTATGTCATATGACACCTTATAACAAATTCCAAGTGAGATGATTTATAAAATAGGAGGAGTAATGTGTCCTAAGGGATGGTCTCAGTTGTCTGGGTTAGTATATGTGGTGTTTATAGGACAGAATCTTTCCACTTTGAAGCATGGTGATGCATCTGTATTGGTAGCAAGCTGATTGCTCTTGTTTTTCAGCAGGCCAGCCCAGGTGGACAGGAGAGTAGGAATAACCAAGGACCTTGGTTAATAATATTCTTCCTTGGCCCTAGGAAGCATTTTGTCTAACATCTGCCATGCTTTTGCTCCATTTCTGTTTGGTCAGCAGAACTAGCATGCCAGGTGTGCTTTCAGACATTTTTGGAATTACCATGAACTCCAACTCCCTCTCTGCTTGAGTTGATGRTAATGATTACCTAGGGACTGAGCTCTCCGAGAAATATTTACTAGGTTCCAAAGTATTTTTCCTGGAGTTTCCTATACACTCATCTTGGCACTCACCTTGCAGCCTACCTCCTATCATCCTAAAAGAAGCACAGGCCTTTCCAAGGAAGGGGAAACTTTGCAAATTCACTATTCTGGTTTTCTTTTTCAGGAAGCCCCTGAAGATCGTGACATAGTGCTGGCAGGCAAAAACCTCTTAGAGTGTCTCCCAAACCCCAGGGACTCCAGAGTGGCCCTGGAGTTACATAAACTGTCCCTGGAGATTGAAAAACTGGAGCGAGAGAGAGAAAAGGAGAAAATCATTTAAATGATACATTATACCTCTTTTCCTGATACAGGATTTTCTTTTCTGTACAGTGCTCGAAAGAAAACCTCAGCTTATCAAYTCCACTTAAGCTTCGTCACTTATTGCAATAAATAATGTGGGTAAAACTTGCTGAATGTACAGTGATCCTGGAATGTGGAATTATTGATAATTTATATCACTATCACTCTGCTTRAGTTTTTACACTACTGGATGTGGCAGGCCAGCTAAATTAAATAACCACCTATAAARTTTAGTTTGTCCTCACTGTCATTTGGATGTCTGACACATAATATGTGTGCCCTGCACAAGTCCACTTCCTAAAGTTAGTTGAGTTTCTTTTCCATTTTAATATATCTCTGTGGTTGTGAAGGGTAACGCATTCCCTGACAATGTTCCTGTGATCCTCTCTTTCCAGACACYAGGTGCAGAGTTAGTAAATCCCATTCCTTAGTTTATGAATACCTCTCTCCCTCWTCTTCCTTTATCTCTTGATTATTGTCCCCATCTCCCTCTCTCTGCCCTCCCACCCCCTCCAATGTATTTGGTAAATGTCYTTAAATATGCACATCCCTCATTACRTTTCTGACTCCCAAGTGCCACATAAAAGGCCAAAATATGTATTCCCCATATTTTGTTTACTCATTCCCCTAGTGATCACCATCTAGGTGGCCTCCAGCTCCCCTTTTCCACAARTGACTCTGTGATGAATGCCTTTGTGTCTCTTTATAAAACTATGCGAGGCCTTCTTTGGATTTATATCCCCAAAAGGAGCCGCAGTATCAATTTACTTCTCTGTGCTGAAGAGTGTTTTTCTCTCTATACTCATAAAGGTAGAGAGTATTTTTGCCTCATTAATTTTTACCATTTTCATATTTTACCATTCTTTTTAATATCTGGAGAATCTGCTGTGAAATTACTTGTCACTTTCCTTATATTGCTAATTCACGTCTTCTCTATTTTCTCTTCCTGGTCAGTCTGGCTATCAGTTTGTCAATCTTGTTGATCTTCTCAAAAAAAAAAAATGAGCTTTTAGTTTGATTTGCTCTGTTGTTTATATCTTAGCGGTTTCATTGATTTTTTTCTTTGATCTATTTAATTTTTTTCTGCTTATTTTGGGTTTAGTTATCTTCTTCCATTGGAAACCAATGGTAWAATATGGCCACAGATGCTTCCTGTCCTTGTATCCATATCCTTAATAGTTTCTCTCCTTAGAAAGAGAGTCTTAGAAGGAGTCTTTCTTCATTTCTTGAATTTGAACCACTTTATCCACTTTATGGAACTTGGTGCTCATCCCCAAGTTACTAAACCTGATATATCCTTAGAGGTGGTGAAAGTCACATGGCCCTGCTTTGCCCCAGCTGATAGCCATTCAATTGTCAGACACACGAGTGAGACCATCAGACTAGACAGTCCCCAGGCAATTCACAAACTTACCCTGAGCATGTAAGCCAGTCTGAGACCAGCTGAGCCTGTGCCATACCACATCTTGCCCAAAAGAATCTTCATTTTTTGTTTTGTTTTTTTGGGGGTACTAAGGATTGAATCAGGGGCACAAGACCACTGAGCCATATCCTCAGCCCTCTTTTGTATTTTATTTAGAAACAGGATCTTGCTGAGTTGCTCAGTATCTTGATTTTGCTAAGATTGGCTTTGAACTCATAATTCTCCTGCCTTAGCCTCCCGAGGCACTGGGATTACAGGTGTGCACCACAGTGCCCAGCCAGAATAATCTTTGTTTGAATAAATAGTTGTTTCAGAGTACTAAATTTGGAGATTATTTTGCAGCGAATTCAATCAAAACACCCTTCTAATTTGCTCATAGTTTGTTAGACTGAGTCACAGAAAGGATTGCTGTGGCATGCAATACTCATTAWATGTGAGATAGATTCACCTTACCAAGAACTGATGGAGGCTTTGTCACATGGAATAATTCACTTTTTATTGTTTTATTGAGGTGGGAGTAAGTGTGGTCTTTGTGGTAGACTAGATCAAAAAAAAATCTTTTTTTTTTTTTTTTTTTAAATGACAAGCCCTTGAAGGGAGAGGGAGAGGCAGGTCCTAAATGCCATGCAGTCTTTCCAGGAGGTGGYAATCAGATGTGGGCAATCCTCCATCAGGACCTAAGTGAGGATGGTAAGGAAGTGTGACAGAGGCTTGTTCCCCTCATGTTGCCAGAGACCCTTTGATACCAAGGAGACTCTGGGGTACGACTGGGATGGGCTTTGGAAGCCAGAGTGAGGATCTTTCCAGCAATGAATCAGACCAAGCAAGGAAGCAAGGAAACACGAGTGCTTTACCTGCAGCACTCTAGGAGAATGTGTTTTCAGAGTTGCAGCAATGAGGGTTATGTCTCAAATTAACTTTTATCTATGTCTTCCTTCAATTTCTTTGAGGGAGAAACATGTAACAAATTTGTTAGGGTAAGCAATAATTTTTGGAGGAAAGTAGGAAAGGATAAAGAAAATTTTTATCAGGAAAAGTTGATCAGAGAGGATGGGGATTGTTAGGGTAGCAGGCACAAATATCCATGAGAGACACATCTCTGAGTTCAAGCAAAGAAGATAGAGAGTGTCTGTCCGGCTGCTCTTCTGCCAGGCTCAGCAGGCAGAGTCACTTGAATAGAGGTTTTATATCTTTCTTTTTAAAGGATAACTTTTTTAAACCTTTATTTWATTTATTTATTTGTATGTGGTGCTGAGGAGTGAACCCAGGGCCTCACACGTGCAAGGCAAGCGCTCTGCCACTGAGCCACAACCCCAGCCCTTATGTCTTTTTTAACAAGGAACATCTTGGGTGCAGCAGGCTAGAATTGACCTTGGGTGCAGATGACTGGGTAACAACAGATTTTTGTATGTAGCGAACTTGCAGGGGAGGGAGGGGGGCGTTTATGGGTCTTAAGTTTCTTTTTCTTGGCAGTTTATAAGTTTCGGTTCTGAGTTCCAGAACCAAAATGGAGTTACCATGTCTAGGGACCTAACAGGGACAACACTTACACAGAGTGTATATCTGGAGCATCGACCTCTGGAAGGGTCCCTGAGTCCTCAATATGAACCCCAAGTGGGGAGATCAATGAGGAAGCCCACAAGACCCCATGGGTAGCTACACAGTATGCAAAGCAGTCCTTCCTTGTACTAGTTGGAATGAGCTATATGTTTTAGTCAGCTTAATTGCTCCYGTGACTAAAAGACCCAAACAGCACAATTATAGAGGAAGAAAAGTTTATTAGAGGGCCCACAGTTTCAGAGGTCCCAATCCACAGACAACAGGCTCCATTTCTCAGGGCTCCAGGTGAGGCAGAACATCATGGTGGAAGGATGTAGTGGAGGGAAACAGCTCATATGATGATCAGAAAGAAGAGAGACAAAGAGACTCCACTTGCCAGACACAAATATATACCCCAAAGTCACACCCCAATTCTCTACCTCCTCCAGCCACATCCCACCTGTCTTCAGTTACCACTCAGTTAATCCCATCAGGTGATTAATTCACTGATTGTGTTAAGGCTGTCACAACCAATCATTTCTTCTCTGAAATTTCTTGCATTGTCTCACACATGAGCTTTTGAGGACACCTCACCTCYGAACAGTAACATTAATTTTACTATCACAGCAGAGAATTTGCAAATCTCTGGGATTTTAAAAATAAAGGCTTATTTCTCGTTAACACCACATGCCCATCTTGGACTGGGAGGGCATAGAGGTGGACTCTGCTCCGGAACCCACACAGAGGGAAACTCCGCTTCAGGGGGAAGACATATGACGTTCCTGTGTCAGTTCTATAAGACCCTTGCTATATGACCCTTGTAAATGCCGTCCACACTTTACTAGCAAAAGCAAAATGCTTTARGAGAACTTTAAAGGAAAGGTAGAAGAACAGTCCCACTATGTGCCTAAAAGGAGAAGAATCAGAATCATTGGGAAACCACACTGAGTACCACAGTGGGACTACAGAATTTCCAGCAAAAGCTATGCAACTGTGTATCTTCATCTTTTAGGTTTCTTGTGAATGTCAATCAAGGGCAGTTTCTTGGCTGATTAGCACAGAAAACAGAGCCTATTATTGCAAACATAGATGTAGGAACAGAGGTGACTGAGTCAGTAGGATATAAGGACCAAGAGATGCAATTGGGAGGGCACAGCCTTACCTAGAGCCATTCAAACTAAGCTTATCTATAATAACAACAAGCTGAAGACAACCACATGTTAATCAATAGAGATTTAGTGATCAGATTTAACCTCTATTGATTTAAACCAATCATTGGTTTAAATATGATGTGCTTAGAGTGGGATTCATTCATTCATTCACTTGCTAAATGTTCATAGAGTWCCTGCTATGTGTCAGGTACCAAGGATATAGCAGTGAGCATTAAAAGGCCACTAAAATCCTAGTTAGAGTAAGTTTTACTCTGTGTATGTATAAAATGTCAAAATACACTCTACTGTCATGCATAAACAAAAAAGAACAAAGAAAGTCACTAAAATGAAAAACAACAACCAAAAAGGATGATTCATGTTTGCATGTATTGGTGTGGAAAGATATCTAAAATGCCCAAGGTGAAAAAAGTTTGTGGCAGAACAGCATGTATCATATGATCCCATTTGTGTGAGAATTTTTTGGGAAATTCTTAGGAAGAGAAAGTAATAATTTGGAACTTGATGTTCTTATATGTTATTTGCAAACTAAGCATGTTTTGATATACAACATAGATAATAGGTAATATTATTCTATTTTATTTTTATCTTTATAACAATAATAGAAAAGATGACTACAAAATAATTTTAAAGAATAACAAAAATTATATTTGGCTGCTAAAGAAAGGACAGAGAAAAGGCGTCAGGTTAATGGACAAATGGGCTACAGAAGACAGAGGGAGGATGAGGAGAGGAGACTGGGGTGAGAAAAATAGTGAAAGATRTTCCTGATGAAGCCATAGGTGAAGAGATTCAGGGCTCAGTTGGGAGAAAATGACTTCAGATAGAAGGATTGGCATCTCTGACTTA